TGTATTCAAAATTCCTGATAACATTATTCATAGATGGGGCCATTGAAGAATCGCAGGTCCGTGGACCCGGTCCATGGAGGGGGTCCATGGACCCGGTCCATAAAGGGGGTCCATGGACCCGGTCCAGACAAGGGGTCCATGGACCGGGGGTCCATGTTTTGTACTTTCCCGACAAAAATCTATGAAAACAGTAAATTTAGTGCGCCACAATCCCTAGCAGTATCCCTAGCAGTATTCCTAGCAGTATTCCTAGCAATATCCCTATCCCAGTGGTTCTGCATCATCAGTTCACAATTTTATTTTAAGTCCACAACAGGTGGGTTTCACTTAAAAGTTAAAATTATCCCTTTCAAAAGCATTGTAATACTTTATGAAATACAAAATTTCTATATTTATTTTATGTGGCCTAAATAACAACGCTGTTTCCAAGCAGCATATCTGTTTAGTGTCAAGATTTTGTGTTATAAATATTACATGTAAATCGACTATGAAATATTCTAGCAGTATTAAGTATATAAACTATATTTTTATCAACATACCATGCGAGGTGAACAAAATCCGCATTGAAATCACTTCAAATATTGTACAACTGAACAAGTCACACGACAAGAGAAACAATATTATTTGCTTGATTGTATTTAAAAATAAATAATCCATATTTTCACGACATTTTTAATAGAGAAATACCAGAATTAGTGCAGAAAATTTCCAATTCGTTTATTATAAATTCGTCCGTTTGTTTATATTCGCATAAATTATATATTATTTAATTACTATTTTCCATATTTCACGCTGACAATACGTCAGACTCCGTGTTTTCCATATTTTTCTCTGACGTCAGACTCCGTGTTTTCCATATTTTTCTCTGACGTCAGACTCCGTGTTTTCTATATGACTCCGTGTTTTCCATATTTTTATGACGTCAGACTCCGTGTTTTCCATATGACTCCGTGTTTTCCATATGACTCCGTGTTTTCCATATTTTTATGACGTCAGACTCCGGGACTCCGACTCCGGGACTCCGACTCCGGGGCTCCGACTCCGGAACTCCGACTCCGTGTTTTCCATCTAACCTAGCTCTTATAGCAGATACCATTTAGTGTTAATCATAATTAGAAGAAAATAGAGTCAATTCGTTTATTTTGTGTTCGTGGCGAAGAGGGCGTATTAAATAAAGGTGTCTACAAATTTGCGAGAAATATGAAATGAATACTCTAATCGAATTTGCCTTTTAAATATTTGTGTTATTAAACAGGGAAACTCTTGCAGGCCATCAAAACATCAAAACAGTCTATTAACTTTTATTGTTGTCATACGAGGAAGTTTCTAAAAATCGTTATTCGATTATAGTATTCATTTCGCATATTTCTCGCAAATTTATATAAAACACCCTTTTACACCCGTTTTCAAAATTCCGCGACCTAGCTCCCTGAAAAATACTCTTTACTTTTATGTCACAAAAACTGCTAAAAATAGCAAACGTAAACAAACTGTCAAAAGACATTTTATAAACCGTATTTAATACCAAAACTGAACAAAAATGAGTTAGATACAAGCACAATACAAACCATCACAACAGAAATATGTGTCGTGAATAACTTTTAAAGTTTGAAAAATAACAATTTATCCAACCTCGTGGTTGCAATTTATCTTGGAATATAGCTGTTAGTATAAAACACGCGCGCTAGAACGGTGATGCTTAAATTTTGCAATAATTCCCACTAAAAAGTATCTTGAAATCATTGTAAGCCTGTTTATATAAAGCATACAAAGCATATACATCGACAAGGAACCGCAAAACTCAAAGTTTAAACTTCGTGACCGAATGACATAAAACTGACATGTCAACTCTAGCATGCATTTTCGTCCTTGATCACGTAATTTTGAAAACGGGTGAAAACGTTTGAAAACTCTTCGCCACGAACGCAAAATAAACAAATTAACTCTATTTTAAGTCTAATTATGAGTAACACTAAATGGTATCTGCTATAAGAGCTATATCCAAGGGCGAAACTAGCCCCTTTTAATTCGGGGGGTGTCTGCCAATTCCTGTTAAAATATTGCTTAACCCTTAATATTTTCGGACCAATATAAATTCTATAAATTCCCTCTGAAAGCCCTGTAAATTACTTAATTAACTCAACATTCTATCATTTAGAAATCTTTGATTTATTCAAAACAATAAATAAATAATAGTAATTTTTACCAACCTTAGGTCCAGGATATGATTATTCCTTGACCGACCTATTAATATCCGCAATTCCCGCCAAAAAACTCTCACGACTGAGTGCAATTCCCGCCAAAACTTTTACGACTGAGTCAGTACAGGATTGAGTCCATGTACCGTCGCTTGTTGGATGAACGGTCGTTGATAAAAAACATTGCCTATTCGCGTGAGAATCTTCGATGTTTGTCAAGAGCACTTGACAGGTTCTGATCTGATATTAATCTGTTGAACAACCAGATCCAAGCTTTGAAACCACCAAATGATCATAAATGATCATCAAAAACATTGAATTTTCTCGGTAAAAACATTGAACTTTGTTATGAGAATAGACAATACTCTAATGCGACCGTTCATCCTTAGTGCATTCAAGAAATGAGTCCGCCTTTTACAAATCGCAGCACGCGATTTGTAAAACACGGACTCAGTCCGCGTTTTACAAATCTTAGTTCGCGATTTGTAAAACACGGACTCAGTCCGTGTTTTCCCGGTCCAGTCCAGTCCAGTCCAGTCCGTGTTTTACAA